TGGTGTCACGCCCGTACCAGGGACCGGCAACGGGACCGCAGCCCTCGGTGTTGCGCCCGCACCTCGCTCAGCCAGTGAGCGGGAACTGGTCTCCACATGGGGTCCGAACCCTTGGCGGGAGCGCTGCCGTGCTCCCAAGCGGCGCACTCTCCAGTGCGCCACTGGGCTGGCCCAGGAAGTATTGGAATTTTAATGTCTCCCTGGAGGCTGAGAGATTGTCCAGGAGACAGCCTGAAAGCATAGAGCATGGAGGTTTGGATCGTGAGGATCCCGTGTAGAGGGTGAGAAAGGGAACAGGCAGTCCCGGTAGAAGAAGGTTGCCAACAAAGAGCATCCTCTTTGCTGCCCACCTTCTTTTCAAGAGAAAAGCCACTACCAGCTAATGAAGTGTCCTCCAGTAGCTGGGGGGCACGAGAGGAATTCCCCTGGCCAGGCACCTGGGCTTTGAGAACAAGAGAGAGAGTGAGTCGGGGAAACCCAGGTGAGAGAGGACTGACCCACTGACTCACCCTGAATTGAGGCTAATGTTGGATGCGTTGGTCTGAAACGGCAAAAAGAGAGAGTCCCGGAAGTACCTGGTTCTGCAGGTCTGGCAAGGGTGGCCGAGGGCCAGTCAACCCAGATGGGGATCATCCAACAACATCGGCCATAACCCTTCCCAGGTTTCGGCACCATAATGAAAGAAAGTGAGCCGAGATACCGGTACCAATCAAGCTTTATTAAAGGAGAAGAATCTATTGGGCTGCACTCAAAGTGGTGGGCAGCCTGGGGCTGCCCTCAAGATGGAGGACAGCACCAGATGTGGGGGTGAGAGAGCTTATATAGGGCACCAAAGGCTGGCTGATACCATCAAGGAGGGGCATTATGCTAACACCAAAGCTATGTGATCAGGGTGGAGAACTGCGCCCTTGCAGAAGCAAAAGGGTTTCTGTTTTGCAGAAGTCATGGGGCTTCTTGTAAAGGGAAGTGGGGAGGGGTCTGGTGGTGGAGTGGAAGATGAGGCCAACAGCTATTTTGTGCTTATTGTGTGCACAGTGGTGCCAGTCATGTCCAAGATCCATCATTCCCACCTTTTAAGTATAGGGAGAAGGGAAAAGGGGCGAAGGTCTCATTCTTCTGAAGCTACTTCCTGCTGGAGATGGGCGAAGATATGGAAAAAATAAAAGGTTTATGTTGGTGGGTAAAACAATTAGGTGGCGGGGTATTGGTTTCATGTGGGGAGGCTGTATTCTTCTAGGGAAGGGTCGCTGATTCTGAGGGGCTGATATCCTCCTTGTAGGAACAATTCGGTGACCTTTTGGTTGGTGAAAGCCTGCATTTGTTCCTGCAAGAAGCTAGAGAAACACAAAAAGAGACAGGAACCAAAAAGTAGGATGAGGCACAGTTAGGGGTTCTAGTAGGGGCATAAGCCAGTATCCAAGGGTTCAATGACTGGGACCCCCCCCAAGGTGTGTTTGTGTTCTGTAACCCTTTGTGTCGTCAGCAATCAGTGCTTGCCTTTAAATGGTTTAAGTTGTTTTGGATCGCCCCAGACTCATTTATGTAGTAACAGCATTCCTATCCCAAAAAGAGGCAGGTGCCTTCCTTCTCGGCTATAAGGAGGTCAAGGGCCTGACGGTTCTGTAAAGCGACTGTCGCGAGTGAGGTGACCTGTTGCTGGAGGGAGAAGATGCTATCTATACTTAGTTCTTCTGAGAGTTTTTGATAGAATTGAGAGGCAGTAGCAAGGTCCACTATGTCAATCCCAGTTGCAGGAAGGATCCCTGCCCCAATTAAAAAAGGTACAATTAGTGCCCTACGGGAGCGGGGGGCACTTTCTGAGGGGGGTCTGAAGTTAGTCCCAGTCCCGTCTCCATCCCTCTATCTGTCTGGACCATGATGTCGGGACGAGCCAAACGAATATGCCAGAAATCGAGTTGGGGGCAGGCAGTGGGATAACGTAGTTTTACAAAGGAAATATATTCCAGTTTTAGGGCATGGATGAGGAGGGGGTAAGTGAGTGGTAGCATTTGGTGGTGTTAGTAAGGCAGAGTGTGGGCAGGCCCCGCACAACACTGACAGTCCCCACTGAGGTGAGATTAGAGGAAAATGAAGAGATGTTTGTGGAAACATTGCGGGCTGCATTGACAGGGAGCGGGGGGTGACCACAAAACATTTCTTGTGAAGTGGGACACCAGATGAGTTGTTCGGGGACCAGTCTGATTCGTTGAGGACTGCATCGTCCCTGCAGTTCTGGAACCTCCATGTTCCAGGTAAGAGGGAGCATTGACATAGGAGGAAAAACATGGGAAGGATGCGAAGGGTTAGGGAGCCAAAAGAATTTAAAGGGCACTTTGCACATTGCCAATTGCTAGAAAGCATCCTACTGATAGGAGGTAAAGGAGTGCCGGGAGAAATCTGTCTATAATGTTACACTCCTTTGGGGCAGCACTGACCAATCCTGTAGCAAGTACTAGAACAGAGAGTATAATAAAGGTTAGGGACACAGGGTGGCATATACTTATCATGTCCCATGATGGCAAACCCATTATAGCAGGTCGGGACCAGTTTTGGAGCAGCTCCTGTGTAAAGGATGTGAAGCGGGCTTGCAAGAGTGAGAGGATAATTGCCAGGGGAAAGATCATCCTCTTCTGGGATTGGGGGAAGAGTGGAGGTCCTGGAAAGTTTTAGTTTTGTGGGTCCTAAAATGGACGAACTATAAGGAGATGTTGGGTTGGGGGTTGAGCAGAGGGACCCCTCTGGCTTGGTGTTAACAGATTCTTTGGGTAAAGTCTCAGGTGCTAGTTTTGCCAAGGATAAGTGATACCAAGGGGCCTTTCTACTGTATAAGGCCCTTCCAACATGGTGAGAGAGGCTTTGGGATTTGGGTTTTAATATACACTTGCTGTCCCAGGCTCAGTTTAAAGTCTGAGGGGGTGGTGGGGAAAGGATGAGATAATAGAAGGTTGGCCTGTTCCCTAAGAAGATCTCTAATGAGCAAAAGAGTAGGGAGATACTGGCCTAAAGGCGATGAGCTGGAAGGGAGATGTGTGAGAGTGAAGGGTCTACCGTATATAAGTTCGAAGGGGCTGAGGCCTGTGGGCTGTGGGAGGCAGCTTGCAAGCAAGTGAGTGTTAAAGGGAGAAGTTGGGTCCAAGGGAGGTGAAGTTCCATGGACAGTTTGGTGAGGTGTGTTAGATTTACTATGGCATAACCTACCTGGGGGGCAGGCATGGAGGTGGCACTCCCATCTATGAACCATGTATGTTGGGGATGTGGGGAGATGTGTAGAAAGGGATTGAGAAAGAGGTCTAAAGCCTCCATGCAATTGTGTTCTAAGGGTCATGAGTATTTTGGGATGAGAGTGGCTGTATTTAAGGGAGAGCAAGGCTTAAAGGAGAATTGGGAATTTTCAGTGGAAGTAAGGTGAATAAGCTGTAGGTGGGAAGGGGAGAGAATTGACTTGGCCTTATGGCTGAGAAGGTCTTGACTGTTTGTTGTCCAAAAGTTAGTTTAGAGCTTTTTTGTGCTATAAGGGCAGCTGCCAACAAGGCCCATAAACAGGGGGCCCATCCTCGGGCTGTGGTATCTAGTTGCTTAAACAGGTATGCAACCAGGGAGAAAATATCTCCTGCCTCTTGTCCCAAAACCCTGACTACCAATCCTTGGGTTTCAGTGACATATAGGATAAAAGGATGAGATAGGTTTGGGAGGGATAGAGCTGGGGCTGTGAGGAGAGTGGCTTTTAATCACTGGAAGAGAGAATGAATGTGCTTTGTGGGATCTAAAGGAATGGCAGGATCCCCTTTGGCTGCCTCATAAAGTGGTTTTGCTAGCATGCCAAAGTTAGGAATCCATAGGCGAAGATACGCTACAAGCCCCAAGAAAGAAAGGATTTCACCCTTTGTGGTAGGAGTAGGGAGTTCAGAAATTAGACCCTTGCAATCCACTGTTATTTCTCTGGTGTTAGGGGTGAGGTGGACTCCCAAATAGGTAACAGAAGGGGAAGAAATTTGGGCCTTGCTGGGGAATACTTGATATCCCAGAGGCCAGGAAATTAAGGAGAGCAACAGTGTGGGCCTGTGAATCCTCAGAGGAGGGGCTACAAAGGAGGAGGTCATCCACATATTGTATTAAGGTGCTAGAGGTTGGAAGAAGTTCAGTTAAGTCTTTAGCTAAGGCCTGGCCAAAGAAGTGGGGGCTATCCTGAAATCCCTGGGGAAAAACTGTCCAAGTAAGTAGTTGGGAACAGCACATGTCAGGATTAGTCCTATTCTAAATGGTATGAGCCATTAGGCTTTATAACTGGAAGGATAAGTGTATTAAAAGGTGAGTAGGTAGGCCATAAGAGATGAAAAGAAAGGAGTTTGTGTATGAGGGGCTTTAACCCTATTAGGTGTTTATTAGTGATGGGGTATTGTAGGACATTAGGTAAAGAAAAAGGATCCCACAACCTCATGAAGATGGGAGGGTGATGAGTAGCAATGGAGGGTGAGGAGGTATCCCATACTATAGGATTAACTTTGTCAGGAGGAAAGGGGAGGGTAGAGGTTTTAGGGCCCAGGTCTTGGGTGGCCTGTATTACCAGGTCTCGGGTAATGGTAGCTTTGAATTTGAAAAGGATGTCCTGCCCCAATAAGGGAATGGGGCATTGAGGCATTATTAAAAATTTGTGTGTGAATTGGGTGCGATGTAGGGTGCAGGAAAGGGGTTGAGTGATCTGTGGGTGGTATTCTGATCCCATGACCCCTACTATTATGATAGAGGACGGGGTTGTTGGTCTTGCATATTCAGGAAGGGTAGAGTAGGTGGCCCCTATATCGATGACAAAAGAGATCAGCTTACCTGCTATGAAGAGAGTTACCCTGGGCTCATGCATGGTGGTCTCCATGGGGGCCTCGGGCCCTGGGTATCATCAGTCTTCCTCCTGGGCAAAGCCAAGCAGCTCCGGTAGAGATGGCTGTGAAGCCAAAGGCTGTAGTTTGGGGACTGGGCCAATCCCTCACTGGCGGGTGGAGCAGTCAACTCCCCCCAGTGACCTGGCTGTTTGCAGTGAGGCCAAGGCCCAGGAGGGGGCCTGGGGTTAGAACAGGCCTGTGCCCAGTGGCCCAGTTTACTGCATTTGAAGCAGTTCCCAGGTGGCTTGCCCCTAGAGCCAGCTGGCTTTGGAGTATGTGAATCATGGATAGCATTAGCCAGGAGCTGATATTTGGCCTGATCTCTTTTGTAATGATCTTTCTCTTTTTTTTTTTTTTTCTCTATTGTTAAAAACCTTGAAAGCTGCATTGAGGAGATAGTGTAAAAGGGCCATGCCTGCAGGGGAGTTTGGATCTATATGTGTGTATTTATGTAAAGCCTCAGAGAGACAGGTTAGGAATTAGTAGTCTTTTGGAGGCCGTATATCAAGTGTGTGATGATATTATCCCAGAGATCCCGATCCCTGTGGCCGGCCTGGTGGTCCCAATTTGGGTCCATGCAAAGAACAGAAACGGCTCCCACAGGCCACCTATTATTTTGAGCAAGTACCTCGTCTGCCTGCTGTTGGGCCACCATCTAGACCTGCTCCCTGTCTTCGGAGGACAGATATGTGTGTGGGTCAGACTGGAAGTATCCCAGTCATTTTTTTGATTTGGGAAAGGTCTGAAAGAGAAAAGGGGACATGAACTTGGACAATCCAGCCACTTCACAGAGGGGGATATAAAGGAGCCAGGGCTGAGGACAAAGAGAGGGAAAAGGTGGAGGGGCTGGTGAAGGATTTGGGGCGTAAGGAGGTAGTCGAGGTGGTCTGTATAGGAAGCAGATTAGTCTAACAGATTAAAAGATTAATCCAAGTCCAGAAGGGGAGGTTGGGCATGAGCTAGGAGAATTTGAGATGTAGGACAGTTTTGACAGAGAGAGAAGGACATGATCAAAGATAGAAGAAAAGGCTTGAACATAAAGAATCTCTCTGGCTTGCCGTTTCAGTGACAAAAGTTGTCTAGGAGAGTACCTAAATTGAGAGTGCCATCTTGTGACCACTGGGATCCATTGTAAGGAAGTATTGGAATTTTTTTTTTCCTTTTTGTCTTTTTTACTGACCGGTAATGGGATCGCAACCCTTGGTGTCACGCCCGTACCAGGGACCGGCAACGGGACCGCAGCCCTCGGTGTTGCGCCCGCACCTCGCTCAGCCAGTGAGCGGGAACTGGTCTCCACATGGGGTCCGAACCCTTGGCGGGAGCGCTGCCGTGCTCCCAAGCGGCGCACTCTCCAGTGCGCCACTGGGCTGGCCCAGGAAGTATTGGAATTTTAATGTCTCCCTGGAGGCTGAGAGATTGTCCAGGAGACAGCCTGAAAGCATAGAGCATGGAGGTTTGGATCGTGAGGATCCCGTGTAGAGGGTGAGAAAGGGAACAGGCAGTCCCGGTAGAAGAAGGTTGCCAACAAAGAGCATCCTCTTTGCTGCCCACCTTCTTTTCAAGAGAAAAGCCACTACCAGCTAATGAAGTGTCCTCCAGTAGCTGGGGGGCACGAGAGGAATTCCCCTGGCCAGGCACCTGGGCTTTGAGAACAAGAGAGAGAGTGAGTCGGGGAAACCCAGGTGAGAGAGGACTGACCCACTGACTCACCCTGAATTGAGGCTAATGTTGGATGCGTTGGTCTGAAACGGCAAAAAGAGAGAGTCCCGGAAGTACCTGGTTCTGCAGGTCTGGCAAGGGTGGCCGAGGGCCAGTCAACCCAGATGGGGATCATCCAACAACATCGGCCATAACCCTTCCCAGGTTTCGGCACCATAATGAAAGAAAGTGAGCCGAGATACCGGTACCAATCAAGCTTTATTAAAGGAGAAGAATCTATTGGGCTGCACTCAAAGTGGTGGGCAGCCTGGGGCTGCCCTCAAGATGGAGGACAGCACCAGATGTGGGGGTGAGAGAGCTTATATAGGGCACCAAAGGCTGGCTGATACCATCAAGGAGGGGCATTATGCTAACACCAAAGCTATGTGATCAGGGTGGAGAACTGCGCCCTTGCAGAAGCAAAAGGGTTTCTGTTTTGCAGAAGTCATGGGGCTTCTTGTAAAGGGAAGTGGGGAGGGGTCTGGTGGTGGAGTGGAAGATGAGGCCAACAGCTATTTTGTGCTTATTGTGTGCACAATGGCACCAGTCACGTCCAAGATCCATCAATCACACAAGTAGACTCTAGCCTTTCTTGATAGGCTGCTTCTACTTAAAGTGAGGCTGATGATGCTAGCTGAGAAGAGAGGTTGTTGGCTTAGGTTATATTCATGTCCTGATCTTCTAAACCAGAAGATGATCCAAAATGTGTTTTGTTTGATTTTAGAATAACTGGTGTGTATTCTTGCAATGGATTTTCTTCCTACTGAGTCTTTACTTTGAGATAAAATTGAGTCTGAATTTCTAGGATACACATGTTGATGGGAAGGGGGGGGCATTATAGAAAAGTAATGGGCAGTAAGGGAAGTTGAATTATGTCTAAAGGTTTTTTATGTAAGAGCCACAGCATAGACCATTCAAAGTCAGTCAGATGGGGTTTATGGTGAAGGCATTTTTAATGTCCTAGATATCTGTTACCTGGAAGGATGAGCTTGTTCTTCATATTTAGGGGTGGACTTTGTGCTTTGTTTTGTTTATTTTGGTTGTTTTGGAGCTGGCTGGCATGGGGAAGGGGTTGAATTTGTGATGGTTATTTTGGAAATGGTTTTTGGGTATAGAAGATGTAAACTGACTCCTTCAGGAAATTTACATACAAAAACAACTTGTGTTTTTGGAGTTTTAGGGTTTGGGGATTAAACAGTAAAAAGATGGTCCTTCATTTTCTTTCCAGGGCAAGGATTTCCCATTTGGGGTGGCTGGGCAGGTTGTCAAAGAGATAGCACTGGTTCTAACTGGTCCTGGGCTTGTTCCCAGTTCTGTTTTCAGAATGTGAAGTACATGCAATTGCAAGTAGAATCCTTTACAATTCGTAATGGACAAGTACCCTGTCAGTTTGAATTCATCAACAAGCCTGATGAAAAGTCTTACTGTAAGCAGTGGCTGAATGCTAACCCCAGCAGAGGGTTCCTCCTACCAGGTAAGGCCTATGTTCCCAGGTTCTTGGTTTTGGTCTGGGGAATGCCCTACCTTGTTTTTGCTCCTTTTTTAAAATAAACTTTTTGCTTCTGAGTGTTTTGTTCTCTGCTTGAAACTTTTTAAAAAGCCCTGTAGATGAACCTATACATAAACAAAATATAAAATAGTGAGGCGCATGAATTCAGATTCAAAAGTGCTCTCAGTCATTTGTATGTTCCATAATAAGTTCACAGAAAGAGAAAACATAAGGTTGCTGTAAAGCAGGTACTGCTGTTGTCTTTTTTTTTTTTTTTTTTCTAAAAGATGACCGGTAAGGGGATCTTAACCCTTGGCTTGTTGTTGTCAGCACCACGCTCAGCCAGTGAGCGAACCGGCCATCCCTATATGGGATCCGAACCCGGGGCCTTGGTGTTATCAGCACCGCACTCTCCCGAGTGAGCCACGGGCCGGCCCTTTTTTTTTTTTTTTTTTCCTTTTTGTCTTTTTACGTGTCCGGCGAAGGGTGACAAGCCTCAGTGTCGCGCCCGTCCCGGACCGGGACCGGCAACGGGATCGCAACCCTCGGCGTTGCCCCCACACCTCGCCCAGCCAGTGAGTGGGAACTGGTCTGTATGTGGGATCCGAACCCTCGGCGGGAGCGCCACCGCGCTCCCAAGCGGCGCACTGTAGCAGTGCGCCACCGGGCCGGCCCAAGCAAGTACTGCTGTTAAAGGAACCATTCTCACTGTCTATGTTACTGTAATCCACTCCCAATTATATGCTCTTATGGAAAAAGATAATGGGGTAGTAATCCAGAAATTATATCTGACCCTGGAATGTACCATCCACATCTTTCCCCTGACTTCTCCTTTGCACTCTGTGTAGTGCTTTGTGGTAGAAGGATTAAAGGTGTTTTATGGACAATGCACAGGCTGATAATTGCATTGTATTTCTATTGGATCAGGTATCTTCAACTTACCTGACTTAGGGAAGGTTCTCTGATCCATGCTTTCTTATTGTATTGATATTCATAGCTTGAACTGTGCTACTTAGTAGCTGTATTTTATAGCATTTCTCTATTCCAGTGTTTTTGTCATTTTCATATTCTCAGTTGGACTATAAACTCCTTGTTGTTGTATCTCCTGAGTGCTGAGTACATAGATAATTGTTGGTTGGCTGATACCTTTTATTTCCTTTTCCTAACCCTTTTTGCCTTACCTTCTTGTCTCCTACTTCTTTTCCCCTTTCCTTTTGGCCTCCCTTCAACCAACATTACTTTTTTTTTCCTGCAGATTCTGACATTGAGATTGAATTGGAGCTCTTTGTAAATAAGGCTACGGCTACAAAGCTCAACTCGGGTGAAGACAAAATTGAGGACATTCTGGTTTTGCACTTAGAAAGGGGAAAGGATTACTTTTTGTCCGTGTCTGGGAACTACCTGCCCAGCTGTTTCGGGTCTCCCATTCACACATTGTGCTACATGAGGGAGCCAATCTTGGACCTACCACTTGAAACTGTTAGTGAGCTGGTGAGTACATGCCACAAGGAAACATCTAGAACTATGATATGCAACAGCAAAGCCAGTCAAACAAAATAATTCAAAGCCTTCTTCCTAGGGACCTAAGAATTCTTCAGCCCCCTAGAGCTTGCTTACTGTATCACTTATATATTGCTGTGCAGCAAACCACTCCAAAATTTTAATAGTTTAAAATAAGTTGTTTCTCATGACTCTGTGGGTTTCCAGTGTGATTCTTCTGCTGGTCTCACCTAGGTTTGCTTGTGCCTTTGTAATCAGATGGCAGCTGTGATAGCTGGAGGGTTCAAGGTGGCCTTCCTCACATGTCTTGGTATTGGCTGTTCTCTGGGCCTCACTGTCCACATGGGCTCTCATCATTCAATATGTTAGCTCAGGCTTCTGTGAGTGGTAGCAAGAGCCTGAGAACAGAAGCTGTAAAGCCCTTTTTGGCAGAGACTCCAAAACTCACAGGATACCACTTCTGCCATGTTTCATTGGTCAGAGCAAGTCATGAAGCCAGCTCAGATTACCAGTGGTGGGGAAAGACTGCCTCTTGAAGGGAAAACCTGTAAAATGTTGTGGCCATAATTTTTAGTCTTTTACACGTAGTACATGTGTTCATCTGTTCTGGCTACTATAACAGAATACCATAGACTGGGTGGCTTATAAATAACAAAATTATCTCTCACAGTTCTGGAGGCTGGGAAGTCCAAGATAAAGATCCCCATAGATATGGTTTCTGGTGAGGGCCAACTTCCTGGTTCATAAAGGGCTGTCTTCTCACTGTGTCCTCACACGGCAGGAAGGGCACTAATCCCATTTATGAGGGCAGAGCCCTAATGACCTAATCACCTCCCAAAGGCCCCAGCTCCAAATACCATCACACTAGTGATTGGGGTTTGTGTGTGTGTGTGTGTGTGTGTGTTTGTGTTGTGTTTGGGGATTTAGGTTTCAACATATGAATTTTCAGGGCTACAGTCAGTCTATAGCAATACATTACAGAAATTGAGCTGTCGATCCTAAGATCACGTCTCCTGGCCCATGATGTTCATTTGTTTTTTTTTTGTTTTTTTTTTCCTTTTTGTCTTTTTTACTGACCGGTAACGGGATCGCAACCCTCGGTGTTGCACCCGCACCGCGCTCAGCCAGTGAGTGGGAACCGGTCTCCACATGGGATCCGAACCCTCGGTGGGAGCGCCGCCGCACTCCCGAGCAGCGCACTTCTTCAGTGCGTCACCGGGCCGGCCCTCATTTGTTGTTTTTTTAAACATCACTTGGTAGGTTATCATCCTCAACTAAATTTGCTGAGATCTGAAAGGTTCCTATGGACACAATTCTAATACAGAGGAACTAGTTTGGAGCAGGTTTATGGTAATGTGTATGCTTTTTTTTTTTTTTTTTTCCAATGCACTTTTTTACTTAGGAACTCTTGAACTCTTATCTCCGTTATATAGATGAAAACTGAGGCCCAGTCAAGGAGAGTGATTTGTCACAGGTCACATGGTGAATTAACAGTAGATCTGGACCTTGAACTCAGATTTTTGGATTCCCAAGTCTGCTTTCTTTCCTCACCAGACCACACAGTCTCTCTATCAGTGAAATGCTGTAGGCATGATTTTTTTTTTTTCCTAAGAGGATGGTGCATGTTTAATCTGATTGAAACTGCTTGCCATACCCTTTCCTAGTTCTCAAAAATCACCTTTTGTCTCTTGATTGTACCTCCTGATTTCATTTTTGCCTGTGGAATATTTGGTTAGGGGCATTGAAATGCTTCCGTTCTGTGGGTTTGCTGTCCCCATATCATAAGTTCTCCTGAAGCCAGCCTGGCAGAAGTGCCATTGGTGGGGCTTCCTTGTCATGATTTTTATTTCTTTTCAGACTCTGATGCCAGTATGGACTGAAGATGATGGGAGCCAGTTGGAGAGCCCCTTGGAAATCCCTAAAGAGCTCTGGATAATTGTTGATTACCTGTACCGAAATGCTATGCAGCAGGTAGGTTGTGGTTAAGCAGTCAGACCTGATTGAATTCAGGCTGCCTTGAGAAAGACCACCAGCCCCAAAAGTGTTTTGCATAGAATGCTTTTACCCTGAGGAACCTACAGAGAACTGTTTTTCCCCTGGGGGGGGAATGAGGGATAGAGTGTGTGCTGCGTCACATGCTGTGAGACCCTATCACATATAGGACTTGATTACCCCCAGGAGAGGCAGACTTGCCTAGGACTGCCTTCCCAGCACAGCATGTTCCCTTCTGTGGCTTCTGGGGATCCCTAGCTAGAAAGCCACCTGGAGGACTTTCAAGATATCATCCTGTTCTCCTTTGCAGGAATTCTCACCAGCTTCTGGTAATGGGAAGGGCTAACTTGTTGACAAGCCAGGCAGAGGCAGGGGACTAGATGGAACCCCTGAGCCATGAATCTGGAGGCCTGATTTCTATAGTTACTTGGGCAAACTTCATGGGATCAGATGGTCAGTTTTACTGATCTATTTATACGTGTTCCAGGGAGACATGCACAAACTATAGTCCCACAGCTTTACCACTTAGCAACAACATACATTCTTATGATATTCTATTTTTACTTTTTTCCCCACTCACATTTATTGAGTGTTGCAATATACCAAGCACTTTTCTAAGTGTCATTTAGTTCTCACAGTAGCTCTCAAATGAGGAAACAGAGGCCCAGAAAGGGAAATAACTTGGTCAAAGTCCCAAAGCTAATAAAGGAGCAGAGGGGGGGTTTGTGCCCACGGAATCTGGCTATAGAAGTCACATTCTTTAGTATTGTGCTATTCTACCTTCTCTGTAGAGCTCCTTTCAAATGTAACTTTTGAGCAATACATATAATATTGTTACTATTAACAAAGTTATATGACATTTAGTCATTTTATTAAAAAAAAAAAAAGAATTCTGAGACCAATAGAAATAACTGTATTGCCAAAATCTTGTTTGCACAAAGTCCTGAGGTGCCTTTTTAGCTTACTCCATCTTATACATGATATATTTTCTTCAATTTTTCTTTTCTGGTTAATCCCTCCATAGCACTGCAGGAAACATAGCTACTTTTAAGTTTTCTCTTATGTTGGATCTTCTTGTGTGCAGTGTGCCCTACCCATAGTTTTATAATAGATGCCTGAAGATCTGTTGTGGAAACAAGCCTGGGAAGGTGTGCAAGGTGAATTAGCCACATCAGCTAAATCAGGTTGTCTAACAGGGTGATTCAGAGGTGTCACTACACTGCTCCTTTTTGTACTCTACTGGTGATATCCCTAGGTTAGGAAATCATTGTTGATTTTTTGAGAAAATAATTATTTTGTGACTCATTCCTTTTGCAGGAAGATCTGTTTCAGCAGCCAGGCCTAAGGTTGGAATTTGAACATATCAGGGACTGTTTGGATACTGGAATGATTGATAACCTCTGTATCCTTCAGACTTCAGCTGTGCATGTGTGTTGTGTGTATATGTATGAATATGAGTGAGAGAGGTAAGATAAGGAAGGAGGAATATTTTAAGGCTCAACATCTGATATTGTGTCCTCAGCTATCATGTTTTTCTTATTTAAAGTTTGCATAGAGAAAACTTTATAACTTTAAGCAGCCAATATAGCAGGAACTCAGGAGGCTGGCTCACCTGGCAAACAGCGTGGCCCCTATGAAATGTTAGGCTGACATCCTAGCTCTGAGCAGAGAGCCCAACTAGGCCCACAGCACATCTGGCATGGGGCAGCATCATCACCTGTTCCTTAACGATGGACCAAAAGCCGCTAGCAATCATTCTATAGCCGAAGCCTTGCTGCTTTTCCTAGAGAGCCTGCCAGAGCCTGTCATCTGTTACAGTGCTTACCATAACTGCTTGGAGTGTTCTGGCAACTACACAGCAAGCAAACAGGTGAGTTCCCCTCTGTTCCCATTGAGCAGTATGCACATGTTGCCAGCACCAGGTCTTATGGAGCCTGAGGGAACAAAGTGGGCACAGTCCCTCAAATGCAGTATCTTAGAAACTCAACACCAAAACAGGTGAGTTCCCCTCTGTTCCCATTGAGCAGTATGCACATGTTGCCAGCACCAGGTCTCATGGAGCCTGAGGGAACAAAGTGGGCACAGTCCCTCAAATGCAGTATCTTAGAAACTCAACACCGTATCTTTCCTTCTCAAACCTGTTCTTCCTCTCATGGCCCTTTTGCTTTTAATGGCATCACCCTTAATTCCAGTGACTCAACCCGAAACCTGAGTCATATCTGACTCCTCCCTCTTCTCATCTCCCACATACCCAGTCCCACTGATCTGTCATCCATCTTCTCTCTTCCATTCTCATTGTACTTACCTTGGTTCAGTGCCCTGCATTCAAGTTCTCCCTCTGCTGATTTGTTTTTGCATACTACCATCAGATTATGTATTCTAAAGCTCTTATCATGTTACTGTTGGTCAAAAACCATACTTGGCTCTCCATTACCAATTAATGATTTTCTTAAATAGTCAAGACTTTCTATGATCTATCCTAGTGGTTCACACATACAACAGGCCTTGGCAGAATAATCTAAAAAACCTGCCAGTAATACAGGTTCCAAAGCCTCACCTCAAATCCACTGATTCAAAAACTCTTTTGGAATCTATTTTGTACAAGCTCCCCAACTGATTCTGATATGCATATAGCTGAGGTTCTTATTGAACTCCATCCTGATCAACCCTTCCAGGCTTAGTGCCTGCTAAAACAGTTATGCTCCTGCCAAAACTGATTTCTCTAATCTGTTCTCTCTATTTATCTCACTGTTTTCCTCTCTTGCCTTTTTTACACTTTCTTTGCCCTGACTATCCTAGTCTTTGCCTCTGCAAATCCAATTTTGTTTTATATTCAATACCCAAATGAAATATTTTCTATTCCTTTAAGTCTTTTGAGAACACGCAGTTAGAAGTTATCTCGGTTGGTTAGAGCATGGTGGTGATAACACCAAAGTCCAGGTTTCGATTCCTGTAGTGGCCAGCAAAACAAAACAAAAAATAGAAGTTTAACCTCGAAATTCATGTAGTGTTTGACCTGTGCTTCTCTTTTGCTACTTATGCCAAGTGGTAAGTGATCAAAATTTTCTGTGCACAGTCTTACTTATGTACTTGGATCATGTACTCAGTTCCTGGGATATAGTAGGCTCTTGACATATGATTGAATGAACAAAAAGTTGAATTTCAATTCTATCTCTTTCAGGTCATTTCTACTCTCCCCACATTCCACAAAAACGTGTTCAACTACTTGATGGCATTTTTGCAAGAACTGCTGAAAAATTCAGCCAAAAATCATTTGGATGAGAATATTCTAGGTAAGTAGCCAAATGTCTATGGAAACATCTCTGCAAACTGAGAAACTCATTATGAGAAATGAGGTTGAGGAGGGTCCCAAATCCAATGTAGTAGAAATAAAATATCAAGCTCTGGGCAAAGTTTACACTCAAATAACTGTTTTAAAGCAGAAAGTATTGATTTTGGGCATCCCTCCCCCCCTCCTAACAACACAAGAATAAGTAGTACTTATTTTGCTAAATCACTTTTTTGTGTTTTTTCATGCAGCTAGCATATTCGGCAGCTTACTGCTTCGAAACCCAACTGGTCACCAAAAGCTTGAAATGGCAGAGAAGAAGAAGGCTCAAGAATTTATTCACCAATTCCTCTGCAACCCACTCTGAGCCTCTCTGTCTCCTCCGCTATTTTACATGAAGCAGCCAGTTACCAGCCCCACCTGTTTTAGATGCCTTGAGATGATATGAGGCCACTCAGAAGTAAGAATGGCGGTTGTCTGTTTCCTGAGCCTAGATCCCCCTATCCCTGCCATTGGTCAGCACACTCAGTGCTACTGTGAGTTTTGAAGACATGGGGGAAAATCCACCATAATAAAACTGACAGTTGATGTTCAACTTTAGTTACTTAGCATAGATAGATCCCTACTCATTTTTTTAATTCAAAAAATTTAAAAATAATTGTACTTGTGTGCTCACTCAACCTGCCTCCAGGGCATAGTTAGTGCCTTCCTTGAGGCTGAGTTGAGTTCCATATGATGAGATATTTGAACACTGTGGATTCCTGAAAGAAGAATAAGTTGGACAGCAAGAATGCAGGTGGAAGCTGCTGGATAAACAGGCCACAGCCATCCCGGATTCTTCCAGTGCTCAGTCTGAGGACATGTGAATATGCATGTATAAACTCTACCCCTCTTCCTACTTATATATGGCTCAATCACTCTGAGGCTGGCCGCTCAGCCTCTGAGGGCAATATACTGGCTTAAAAGTGAAAACACCAAAGAAATGGGTGTTCTGGTGAAACAAGTGGGATTTTCTGGGCCAGCAAATCCTCCCTACTGTATATGATGCCTTCCTTCTCATATGTGTAATATATTTTAATGATAAATATATTTTTAACATTGGTTGTTGTGTATGTTTTTATCTCAAGAGATGGCAGCTCTCTGCAGTTGTACCTTTGCTGCTTAAGCATTGAGGCAGCTGATCAGGGGCCAAAGAGACATACCTGGCAGTCTGGTGGGCAACAGTCACTATTCACATTTTTCAAGCAAGAGATGGTGCAGCCATGGCCCGAACCCCTTAACCCCTATCTAGTCTCTGAGGATTGTTCCACTCTAAATATTTTTTCTAGAGAAACAGCTTATGGGGAAAACAGGCAGTGGTTTGTGGGAGAATCTAACAGCTGGATCTTCCAGGAATTTAGAAAAGACGGGAGCATGATAAAGACACATGTAAAATCGCTTCTTGGCACTGGAATGCCACTAGTTCTTGGCAGTGTAAAGGGTGGTTCGGATAGAGGCCGGTAGGATGACGATGTAAACAGTTAAGGAAGGAAATGGCCGGCAGGTGGCGTTGACTGGCCCGGTCGAAGTCGAGAGTCCTCTGCAGCAGAAAAAAGTTGGGACAGAGCCTGGGCAGGAGTGTGAGGAGAAAGGAAATTGGGCTTCTTATGAAAGCGTGTGAGAAGGGGAAGAGGCGGCGGTGTCCTCTCTGGCTGGGCTTGGGATACCCCTAGTTCTGCCTTTTGGGCCCAACCTTCCTTTTTTGGATTCTCCTGCCTGTGTTAACGTTTTTTGTTTTTGTTTTTTTGCCGGCTGGCCCGTTGTGTTAACTTCGACGGGTGATGAAGAGGAACGAGGCCGTTAGAGGGAGAAATCCAGGAACGTCCCAGCTTTCCAGGGTCTCTCCTTGCGGGTCCACGCCTGGGCTCTGATGGCTAACTGCGGTCCTTCCCGTTGCAGTTGTGACGGCCAGAACGAGGGCGGCCAGCGCAAGTCGGGCTGATATTCGAATTAGTGGTTGGGGGTTTCTCCCCCTTCCTAGCGTCTGGCACTGCGAGCGCGACGCCGGGTCTCGGGCCGCCCGCGAACTACCGGGCGCTCCACCGCGCGGACTAACTCGCTACCCTGGCGACGCCCCGCGGTGCCCCGCCCCGCGCCCGCCGCTCGCTCATTGGAGGCTCGGGTTCAGCCCCCAGACCGCTTAAACCAACCAGAAGCGCCGGGGGGAGGAGGCGCTGCTGTCTCCTCCTTCCTCCGGAAAGCGGAAGCGGAAGTGACGTTAGGGAAAGGTGGGGGCAATCATGGTGCCGCTGGGGAGGGCAGAAGCTGCTGCTGCCGCCGTTGCCGGGAGCCGCGGAGGTAATAGGTGAAACTACACTCGGCCTGGGCTTGGGACTTCCCGGGGGGCGCGGGACTTAGGCTCCCTCCTGAAGCATTTCCCAGTAGAGACCTCAGTCTGGTCACCATAGGGACCCCACCCCTCCTCCGTTTCCATGGGGATAGGTATCCAGTCCCCCTTTCCTGTTTCCATGGAGACCCGGACCCTGCCCCTCTTCACTGGGCTTGGAGGCCCCCAGCCTGTCTGCAGATTTTTCCGTGTATCCCTGGGCTGGGGGCTGCCTCAGGCAGGCTGCTTCTCCTAGCCTCCACTCAAGGGTGCTCCGTTCGCACTCCTCGTTGGCCACCCTCAAACCTCCTGGTCTTGTTTGTTCCGGACAGTTGGTCTCCGTGTTGCCGCCGAACGTGCCGGAGCAGCCCACGGGGGCCCTCGGTGCTCTTATCTCTCTTCTCAGATACAGTGAAATGTGCATCTCTGGGGTTGCGTAAGCCAGAGCCAGGGTTTGGGCCGGTTCTTCCCGGATCCAGTCCTTGGCCTGTCTCTGGTAACTTCTTCTCTGTCTAGCCGCCCTACTGTGTCCGTAAAGCTTCACTTTCTAACCCAGAGCAGAAGGGAAAGGTAAAGTGCAAAGCCAGACTGGAAACTAAAAGTGATGTGTTAATTGTTTTTAACTTATCTGTTCTGCTTGCCAAACCCACATTTGTAGCATGTGTACTTGCCAGTGAAGGAAGAATCACTATTCCAGAACATGAAAGCTTCAAATCTGATATTTTCCCTAAGATAATGTATCTTCCCAAGAGAGTATACATTCCCAAGACAGTGTATCTGCATGTCTTTTATTCACTTAGCTGACATTTCCTAAACTCCTAGAAACTGTCAGCCTACCATGCTAGGGTCTGTAGAAACAAAAATAAATAAGACTCATCATTCGCTGAGGGTGGAGAGCCCACTATGCAAACATAGCTTTTGGTCACACGATATTTTAGGAGAAATAGGTACAGTGATCTTTGTTAGATGGGCCTGATTAGAGATTAGCTCCTCCACCCAAAAGCTGAAACATCTGTTCTAGGAAGGAGAGAAGGAATTCATACTTGACCGACATTATGCTTTACATACATCATCTCTTTTACTCCTCTTAACCACTCTGAGAGAACAGGAATTACGTGTCCCACTTTACACATAAAAAAATGAGGCATAGAAAAGTTACCCAAGTAGTAAAGGGCAAAGCCAGATGGCTCTGCCTCCAAAGCCTTGCTCCTTCCACACCAGACTACATGAGGCCATATACTGCCTCACTGTCTGATTTGGGGGATATTTCAGTGGGGTTTTCTTTAAGATTTATTGCAACTCAGCCTTTAAGCAGACACTGTTCTGTTTGCTCCTTCATCCCCTTTAGGTATTTTGACCAATCTTCAAATTGTTTGAAGTAAGGCACATTTAGAAGGTCTTACGGGGCTGGCTGATTAACTCAGTTGGTTACAGTGCTTGTTATAATACCAAGGTCAAGGGTTCAGATCCCTATACCAGCAGCCATGCAAAAAAAAAGACCTTATGAACTGCTACTTATTCAATTTTTGAAACAAGGCATTGCTTTTCCTTAGAAATTACTCAATGATTTCAAAATTAAAGTTAAAAAAAGAAATTATCCCTAAGGAAGATGATTTTTCATTTGCTTTGGCCTGCTCTTTAAATGAGAGGGAAAAGGAGCCTTGTGGTTGCTGAGGAGGTCCAGGGGTCTTGTGGTATGGCTCTAAAGCTGACTTTGTTTTATTGCAAACAGGTCATTATCTTTCCATTTCTCACAATTGGGCTGAGCACGATTGAACCATGGGGGAACACAGTCCAGACGACAACATCATCTATTTTGAGGCAGAGGAAGATGAGCTGACCCCTGATGACAAGATGCTCAGGTTTGTGGATAAAAACGGACTGGTGCCTTCCTCATCTGGAACTGTATATGATAGGACCACTGTTCTTATTGAGCAGGACCCTGGCACTTTGGAGGATGAAGATGACGATGGACAGTGTGGAGAACACTTGCCTTTTCTAGTAGGGGGTGAAGAGGGCTTTCATCTAATAGATCATGAAGCAATGTCCCAGGGTTACGTGCAACACATTATCTCACCAGATCAGATTCATTTGACAATAAACCCTGGGTCCACACCCATGCCAAGAAATATCGAAGGTGCAACCCTTACTCTGCAATCGGAATGTCCAGAAACAAAACGTAAAGAAGTAAGTAAAGCAGTGGGTGAGGGCTCAGTTTGGCTTTGGGGCAAGTACTTACACAACTCTTGTTGGCGATTTTCACTTGGGTGTAAAGGAGTCCCTGGGGTTAAAGGCCTACAGTGGTTTTGCTTGTCAAACACATATGCTTCATGTTTTGTTGTGACTGCTTTCTGCAGCTTTTGGTTTGTATGACCACATTGAAATCTGGGAATACTAAATTATAATTTCTTAAAATTTGTCCCTCAAATAATAAACAAAATAGAAATTTCACTGAAGTAAATCTGTTTCTGATGCTGAAATAACTAAATTTGGCTTGTCTGATAATGAAATAACTAGAGGTAGGTTGTGTCTGTATTATGTATAAAGGATTTGTTTTGGAAATGAGTGTCTGCTGGAATATATGAATGTTTAGTGAACAATAAAGGCTAGCTTTCTTTCACAAGAAATTCTGTCAGGATACGGTAAATGAAAGCACGTTATCCAAAATAAGTTTTCATGTTCATATTTAGCTAATGTGAGAAAAATACATCTCAGGATGTTTTGAAAACTATAAAGCAGTTTACAATTTGTACTAGTAATGATTGTTAGTGGAATAAAAGATATAGTTTAAAGGTAGTGGTATATATTACCCAGGAACTATTACAGGTCAATTAGAAAAAAATAGTCTCAGTGCCAGGGACTTAATGTGAGATGTTACCAAACAGAAATAGGGTAAATTATTTAGCAGAATAATTTTTTCTTTTGCTGTAATTAAGGTCTTGTTTTTATTTATTTATTTATTATTTTATTTATTTATTTATTTATTTTTTTAAAAGATGACCGGTAAGGGGATCTTAACCCTTGACTTGGTGTTGTCAGCACCACGCTCAGCCAGTGAGCCAACCGGCCATCCCTATATGGGATCCGAACCCGG